TACGGGTGACTGAGTAAGTAAGACCTATTATTCAGAAGCATGCTACTTATAACCTTTTCGACTGGAACATAAACGCATGACCAACAATAACCTTAATAATGGAGAAGAAAATTTTGGTGCAATTTCCTGCCATTAGCTGCAAAAATGTCTACAACAATTTCTTCGTGTGGTGGGAGCTAACGGAAAACACACACAAAGTTTTTAGCACGGAAAAACAAAATTTTTATAAGACTATATCGGTGATCAGGTGTACGAGTACAAACTTGTTTGATAAGCCATTATTGGTTGTAAGATTCCAACTTTCGTCGTCCCAAGCTTTGTACTGTTTGCACACTTATTAGCTAGTCCTTATTATCTGCGGTTATTTAACTGCACTGATTAGATAGTTTGGTCTAGTTTCATCTAATAGGCTTTAAAGCAACTTTTCATTTAGAAATTTAATACGATTTTACCACTTATTTATAATTTTCTGATAAGTTCATACCGTTTCTTCCCTGACAAGAGCAAGTCAACCAGATTTTTCAAACCGATGGAGTAAGAACAACGTCTAGGACACAACTTGGCTGTCACTGAAAAGGTTGCATTGAGTAGTTAGGTAAATAATTCAAATGACACGTATAAGTTTTGTGAAGCAAGTAACTGTGATCTGCAGCATCCTCTTGAATGCACCCGGAGAATGAAAGTGAAAACAGTGACTTTCTAGCCACCATAAAACTCCTTTGCGCTCATCCTCCTCTATGTGGTATTGACGGCAGTTGTTTACTGACAACCGGTAGGCTTGGTAGGCTTACCTGACACATGGCTTCTGCAGTTGCAAGCCCTACGGATGTTGCAAATAACCTATCTCACTAGCGGTAACACTGTAAGCTTCCAACCGGGCTAAACAGCTAGTGCTTGTTTATCGTTGTCTTTTTGTGGGTTTTGAACAAGATACACAGTCAGTACCACCGATAGTGCCAGAGCGTGGTTACTTTATTAACGGAGCTATTGACCGTTTACTATGTTACATAAGAGTGATTGTCTTGCATAATGCTCACTGATAACTTCAACTTACTTATTACAAGGGGCATGACGCGCCGCTAATAACTATTTACACACCGATGCTCATGATGAGAACAGGGGCAGTGAGGATGTTGAAGAAACTGTAGAGCTAATGTGAAAATGTGATAGCCTTGGCAACGTTTAACTGAAGATTCCCCGCCACACCTTTAACGGAGCTGTTTAGAGCTGTTGCTCTTCATCCTTATCTATAAAGGAAATACACGCTATATGTCCACAGTGACACTAGTGATGCAGAACTTCGGTCGTATAGACACAGAACATCATTTAGCGTACTTTTAGGGACAATTCTGACACAAAACACCACCATGCATCCTTTGAGTAACTTTTTGGTTCACTTTGAATCTAAATCTGATCAGGATGAGAACTTTTCACCTTCAACTGGCTCGTTAAAGTTGTGACCATCCAGTTCACCATTCGGATGGACAATGAATATTTGTGCAAAAAACGACCATTTAGATGAGGAACAACCTACGTGTTATGTTTCTCTCGCGGTAACGGTGCGAAATAAAGTTCTGAAAAATGCGCTCGCCCAACCGAGTATTTGGGGGTTGAAGGGAAATTAACCGGTCTGAAAGTGACACTAGACACTCAATAAAACCCTATCTTTGCAAAGTGGTAGATTCCACCCTTGGTCTAGCATTAGGTTTACAGATTTCAAAAGACAGGCGGTCTGGACTATATTGCAAGTTGGGAAAAAATCATACTACCCAACTCGAATAAACACTACATCAGCGGTTACTAACATAACTGTGACTAAGGTAGAACTACATTTATGTCCCCAGTTGTTCCTCATCGGATTTTATGGGTGGACTGGCCCAAGTAGCACATTAAATAACACTGCTGAAATTCCTTTAAATCAACTAACCCAAATGCTGTCAACGAGTTGTTTCGTCGTAAACACAAAGGATGCTATTTAACGTTACTGTTTAGATGGAAATAAGCGATTGAAAGGTTTACTTCCGACCTATGATGACACGCAGCGCTAATCAATTCTGCTCGGGTAATACTTTCAATAACATGAATTAAGTAGGTTTGCTCACCTTCCTGAGAAAAATAACCGCTTAAAATATATCTTTTTAAAATGTCATAGATTAGGACGATATACAGATTTAAATAAACTGATTCTCAGACCAACTAAATGCAAATTAATACTGACGACTAGAATGTCATAGAAGGGTGGCCGTTGCACTTATGTTACTTTGACTAGAAGTGAACAAATAATGAACCGGATAAGAGTCCAGCTTAAAACAAAGTACTAATTTTATTAGCCGCAGAGATTTACAACCTTGTGTGATATGAGTTCCCGTTTTGTTTAAAGACGGGAAGAACAAAAGTCTCAATGATGATCCGCATGGAAGTGCAACACACATTCTTTTGAAGACTCGACAGAGGGTCCGCATGGATCAATAAGGTAGAACATAAGAGTCTTTATGATTTAGGACAGGGTGTGTGAAGCAAATTCATGCGGGATTGACTGTGATGTGAGCAGAGGTGGTTTCAGTAAAACAAGGAGATGAAAGCACTCTATAAGATGGTGAGCGCACTAACTTCGAAGGTATGGAAACCTTAAATCTACATTCTACAAAGTAATGAGTACAGTTTTCAGGAAGTAAACTGGAATTTAGTTTCTTACCTTCATGAAAAGCATGGAATTCACGCCATAGAAACTTTATAAAAAAATGTGTCGGGGTTTCAGCTATTTTTGGTGGCTTCCAAGTTTTCTCCACGACAGAAGTGTGAGCTGAAAGAGTGCCACGGCAACTTCAGACGAGGTGACATTTATGTCACGTCGAAATTTTCTGGAAATCGTCAAATAAATGCCAAGTTTTCAGTCATCTAGACCTCGCCAATCACAAGTGGGCACAAAGATTTACTCTAAGAATCTGATAAAAGCCTATGGAACAACTTCGTTGGATTAATTTCTTGGATGACTTAGTAAAGTAAATCACGTTAATGATTATCACAAAGTCGACTGAACAGTTTGTGCAGTAAGTTTAAGGACGATGTTTCTATTAACCGGTTCACGGGCCTAATGGGATATCATAATATACTGAGCCCCCAAAAATAAAAGAGCTTTGATAAGATATGAATCAGCTCTTCGCATTTTGCAAATAAATTGAAGAAGTCGAGCTTCTAAATCTTGCTTTTACCTTGCAACTGAAGTTAACTCATACTGAAAAGCTTGGCAACAATGCACTGCTGTCTACTATCATTTGCTGGATAGTGGTCGTGCATGTTACACTGTTTTCTCTGGTGAATCCGGTTAGAAATGAGTATTTCTCGCATAAAATTACAGGTAGCCGGTCAGCGCACAATCAGAGGATCATGTTTTAGATGGAATACTCTACTCATATGATTTCTAGAAACTCTTCGACACCCCACGAGCGGCTTATCCCTTCTGGGTACTCATCAAGTAGGCGCAATCCTCAAGTTTTCGTTGACTTTACGTTCTGCTTGAACCCAAATTGCACAAAATTGGTAAGATACAAAGTAAGATGGCCTGGTATAACACATTCAGTTGTTTAGGAAAATCGTAAACGAGAAATTCAGCTGGGTTAATGAGAGCCACCCGGAAAAACCAAACTGGTATGCAAATGAGTGCATTTCTCTAGAAATGTTTTAAACTATTGATTTCCATTACTATCAAAAAGCAATACATCTCACGGGTCACCTGAGTCTTCCCACGAGAAGTAGTCACCTGAGGAACCGGTTGTTACCAGGTCACATGCCGTGATCAGTAGTATTGAGTGTTGAGAACTGATGTATCCCATCTAAGTTTACCCTATTCTCACTGAAGACCAGCTAACCGACCGTGTCCAACTTCTATCCAAAAATTTGTCTGCTTGAATCGTCTTCGAGACTCCAAGACCGACAAGGATACGGCTGTCCATCGCTTCTCGAGTCCTAGCTGGAATTGAAGTGATGAATTCATATTCTAGCGTGCGTTTTAATTTAGCTCGAAGCACAGAGCGCTACAGATCTAAGTCGTTTCTGGTCCATTACACAGGGAACCAAATCTCGAATGGGTACTTTTTGCAAAAATCCATCCAAAGTGGCCAGACGTCTACATACGTTTCATTTTTAGCTCCCCTTTTGAGAAAACATGTATATTCTGCCCGTTCGCAGGATTGCAATCGGGTAAAAATTCATCAAATTAGCATAATTTACGGGTACAAACACTGGCATAGACGTGATTTCCTGGGGAATTTTATCCCGACAGGTAGAAGTATTTATTCCCTGTTTCTTCAGGTGTGCTTTTAGTATGCAAGCATGCACAAATGAGTTAGTCTTAAATATACAAAAGAGTTGATGGTGACTGAGTATAAATGAGATTACCAGAATCTGTATTTGTAGGGAGTTGTCCGGACTGAATCACTGGCAATTTTTAACAAGAAGCCATGGAAACACAAGCGCACCTGCTGCCCCGATGAACAACGAGATCTCTCCCATCTGTTAACGTAGGGTAGACGATATCGAAATAAGAGAACTTCGCCGCATGTTCCTCTCTTCTGAATGAATGGAATATAGCTAGAGGCAATTCGCAAATAGCGTCCAACTGGGGCTCAAACAAAGCGAAGCAAATTTTACAAAATAAAAAAGACTATACAATTCGGGGAACGAGCTCGAACAACAACAACAGTGGTCTTCGGCATAATTTATTTGAAACTCTTGCCGAAAATGGTAAAACTACGCTCTATAGCAACTTCTAAAGTAAAAAAAACCACGACTTATTTACTGTGCCTCATAACTAAACACGAGATAATTCCCAAACACACAGCAATTGGTACGGCTGTTTTACGGAGACAATACTGTATAGTTGGATGATTAAGCTACATTTTAAATAAATGCACTTACTCAGAAAAGGAAACTCGCGTTCGTATAACACACCCAAGTGAATGGTATTTACGATCACTTGCTTTTCCGATAAACGAACGTACTTGGATGACTTTCCTCTACAATGATCATTCCGTAGTAAAACACCTTTTACGGAGGTATTTATGGTAAATATGATGGGGTCTTACAATCAGTTTGAGTAAATGGATAGAAGAATTGTCCAGTTTGAGTGAGTGCAAAGTTGTTTCATCATCGAAGCAATCTGGCAAGTTTTATAGATTCTTTATTAGTTTTTTCGACTTTCAGACAAGTTGTTTTAACACCCGACGCTACGACTAGCGATGCTCAAACACTGCTGCAAGATAGCTCAGTCAGTATTCTTCGACTGTTTTCTTGTGAATCATGAGAGGAAGACGGCCATTCTTCAGGACTAATATCATCTACAAATTTACACTAAAAGTGAAATTTTTGACCATCGTATTAACATTCTCCAGCAATTCTGTCTGTGACACCTACACTGCCTTCATTCGAGTTCCAAAAAAAAATTTTCACAACCATCTACCAAGTGTGCACACTCTAGACAGTGAGCTGACTTGTTGGTTTGTTACTTGGGCGATTCTGCCTTAAAAAGAGGGTGGAAACTCTGTATAACTGAGTTTCCTCCAAAGTTAGACGGAGGCTTCGATTCATCAAAAGTGTGTAGCATGGTTTTAAAGTCATTTACTTTCCCTGGTTCTATTGGCTGCCGTTCAAAATGGAAGATTCACATTTTCAAAGCGTTCAAAACCTTCCAATAAACGAATGTCAGGAGAACTTCAAAAAGTGTCACGGCGTGAATCGGCGTGAATGGATTCTAAATGCAAAAACCAACACAACTTGGCGCATAAGGCGTTCCGCATTATTTGTAGATTATGCAGCAAGTTTGTCCACCACATATCCAAACTTTTCTCCTCAGTCCTTGCGGAGACGCGCAGAGCCTGCTCCAAATGCGTACATCATTCGCCATCATGTCAAGCGTTTATTGTGGGTTTATTTCCATATCTCTACATTGGACAGCTTGCCAATCAGGTTTTGGAAGGGTGGGTACGCTTATCGTTCGATGAGAAAGTATGGATTGGAGCAATACGGTGTCGAAATTTCATTATTGGAACGTGGTTTACCGTATGAACTGACGGTATGTTTTCACCTGATCCAACTATTTGTGCTCACCTATCACAAAACAGAATCCCAAGTAAGAAACAAGTCATTGTTGTGAATTCAGTAGCGCCTCGAACTTCTCACCACATGTCATGCCAAAAGTAGACACAGCCGTCTGAATCGTCCCGAGTACAAGTCATGCTGAGTATAATCTTCCACTCGGGCCTTCATGAAATATGAATGAGTGGCTACTTTAAGAGCGTTGGTGACTTCGTTGTTTCATTAAACAGTGATTTTTACGGCTCTTGATGCCTTACGCAGAGCGAATGGCAAAAGTTCTTTATCAACATTTCAAAAAGTAACAAATTTTATCGCGACGCATTAAATGTAGTGGTTTCAGGGTTAACCAGTACTCAATTCGGAATGACTGTAGATACGAATAATTATTCTTCTGGTCAAGAAAGACAATGAAACCTCGCAATGAAACCAAAAGCAGCACCGACTGAATTCCGTAACTGCAACGTAGATCAAGTAATATTGTCGGTTGAATTGGCGGGTTTCCCGCCCGCCAAGTGTAGTTAATTATCCAGTGTCTATCGGATTTATTAAATGTCCTTATCAACGCCTCACAAGTTACACCATTTTTTTTAGGATTTTGGAAAGTTTCAACTCAACGTTGTTCATTAATTAAGCCAGCAGCAGTTTTAAAATGTCCTTCCTTGTACTGAAGGGATAGAATCTAGAAAAATGCATGAATTTCTGCACACTAAATTTACCTAGTGGATGGTAAGCGCTAGCTAAATTGGTACCTCTCCCCAGTGTTCCGTGGCGCAAGAGGGCTTAGACCTATAAAAACTTCCTGAGTAACGCCCATGCGCTTGGATGACTATACTTACAAATATCCCTAGTACCTTCCAGATGATGCAAAGCTGTGCCTTACACCGTTGTTTTTATTTGGATCAAATATTCCATTGATCGAATTTCCGTGAATCTTAATAAGCCAAATCCTTTTAGACAATTCCAAATATTGGTAAATGATCAGGTGGCTGTTGATCTGTTCACTGAGCTTGGCAATTGATTTGCAAACGTTTCGTCACCATTCGAGGAGACATCTTCAGTGCGCTGTTGGTTGGGTAGTTCCTCTCTTCGTGCCTGCGTTTATATAGTCTACAGAGAGCAGCCTTTGCGCTGTAACCTGGATTCTGATTGGCCCGTTCTTGATCTGTATTGCGTCGTGGTCGGCTTCTCTGTTGGTTTGTGGCGTGCCTCCTATTTTTAGTAGCCTGCTGTTCTATTGATTTCTTCTTTGAGTCCTTGTCCGGCCTCGGGTTCTGTGGTTCTGGATTTCCTTTGTCCTCAGAGGCTGGTAGGCAGGATCAATCTCAATGTGCCTGTTTATTGCTCCACCAGTGGAGTACCACGCCTCCATGAACTCGCGTTCTTTCTTTGTTCTTGCTTGGCCCAGTATTCTGACGTTATTCCAATCGAAATGGTGTCCTTCCCCATCTTCGTGTGCAGAGATGAGAGAGAGTTGGTCATGTCTCTTGGTGGCGAGCTTATGTTCGGTGATTCTGGTTGACAGTTTCCTCCCTGTTTGTCCCACGTAGTGTTTTTCACAATCATTGCATTGAATTTTGTAGATTACATTTGTCTTTTCCATTGCATTAAGTGTCCCCTTTGGTTTTGATAGTACTCTTCGCAGCGTGTCAGTCGGTCTGTGGGCCACTTTTATGGCATGCTGTTGTAATATCCTGGCGGTCATCTCCGAAATGTTTTTGATATATGGTAATGTGATTGTTTTGCTTGTGTTTCTGGTTGTCGCGTTGGTTGAATTGCATTTTCTCAGAGATCTCCAGACGAAATTCCTTGGGTAACCGTTCCTTTGAAACATTCTGTATAGGCGTTTCTCTTCTTTTACTTTAGATTCTACTGTGTTGCAGTGTGTTTCAATTGGCTTCAATAGTGTCCGGATGCAGCTCTGTTTGTGGCAGTTTGGGTGGTTGCTGTGGTAGCTTAGAATTTGATCCGTATGCGTAGCTTTTCTGTAGACTTCTATTTGCATTTGTCCATTTGGTAACCTTGTGACGAGGACATCTAAAACCGCCAGCTTGTTGTTGTTTTCTTCTTCCACCGTGAACTTGATGCCATCGGCGACTGTTTATCAATTGGATTGCTCGTTGTAGTTCTCTCTTCTTGGTGATGACAAAGGTATCGTCTACATAACGTGCCCAAGGCTTCGGGTTGATGTCCGGCAACACGGTCCTCTCCAGTTTTTGCATTGCAATCTCGGCGATGAACCCTGAAATTGGGGAACCCATTGGTGCTCCTTTCAATTGTTCGTGGTATTCACCGTTGAATTCGAAGTACGTGGTCAAACAGAGGCTGAGCAATTCACATATGTCTTCCTTCCTTAGAGATCCACTGGGAGGTCCATGACTGT